GATTGGGATAACACATGCAGAGTTGCATGCATTAGCCAAACTAGCAGCAACAGTAGTTCGTTAGAGTGAGAGGGAAGACAACTGTTGGATGAGTTGACTAAAATGAGTGATTAAGGTGTAATAGGAACCAGATGTGAGTAGTGGAACCATCAGTAGAAACTTGATTAGCATAGGTGGGTCTCCCATACTTGATGATAATTCTCGGTTTGTTCAGCTGCCCCACAATTGAAAGATTTCCAATCAGAATGGTTACCACGACTTGTACAACTAGCACATCCTCCATGACCAATACCTCTACCACCATGACTATCACTTTGGGTTGGATGACGTCCGCCACCATTACCACCACTACAACCACGACTACCCTTGCGAGAGATCAAAACAAAGGTGATGGCGCAACCATTGGTTGGTTGGACCAATACAGTCGACTTTGAAAGTTTAGGCGAAAGACTATGAATTTTTGGTCCAAAGAGAAGTGCAATTGGTAGTTTATTAGAATTAGTGTTATTATTATTTAATTTAGGAATACTTGTTTGACTAGAAGTATTAGTTAGAATTTGATTAGAAAATTATTACAGAGTTTTAGTAGTATAGGAGTTTAAAAGTTTGATTATGAAACTCTTTTAAAATTTTAGCAAGAGAATAATTTTTATTTTGGTAGGGAATTTGGCCTATAAATATCGATGTAATCCCCACTATTTTTATTAGAGAGTGATATAATAAAAAAATGTGTGGCTGTAGAAACTTGTGTTTCTTGACCTAATCCCTACGAGATTTTGATATCTTTATTATTTCTTTCTATTATCTTATTTCTTCTTTTACTATGCTACATCAAAAGGAATCTAGTAATGATGAAGTCTCACGATTCAGTGAAGCACGTTGAAAATGAAAATAAGCATCAACAACGGTGGAAGGTTTCTCAATAGCCAAAATCTGGCCTTTGAACACACGGTACTCAAAGTTAAGGCTAGATACTAACAACACAACCTAAAACTCTTCACGCAGACAGTTCTATATCTTGATATCCATGCTCAGTGTATGATAAAGCATAAGTTCTTCCCATATCCCTTTCAAAACGCCAAAATGTTCACCTAGAGATTTATCACCTTGTATGGTATTAAACATACACTCAATAGAACATAAAGTAGGGCAAATTATGTTCTTGTGAATTCATCTACTCAAGGGAGTCCATATCTTCTTGACCTTGTCAAGAAGATGAAAATTAGAAGATGCATAAGGTTCCATATTAATCTGCAACCAAGTCATCATCGAAGAACTCTGGCTTCCCAATATCAAAACATACATAGGAACAAGGAGGAACATTAATCTTCATCTAAACAATGACCAACGATGGAAAATGTGAGAAACAGTGGCTGTTGACCCCTTTTCCAGGTAAAAATACTAAAAAAACCAACCAAAAAATAGTGGGTGCCTAACATCAAACATCCCAAAACTTAATCGCATCCCACTGAAGAGATTTGAAGCATCAAAAAAACTTTGGATCGGCTTGAATCAGCAAATCGAAAAATCAGACCCTGTTTTTTAGAGAATCATTCAAAGATAGCAAACCCTAATTAGATGGCCTCAAAAATTAAGCAAAAATATCCATAGTTATCAGCGCAAAGGAGTCGGTGTGGGTTCTAGTGATTGGAAACTGTTAACGTCATTCTGATGTAAGCATCATTGACGATGATGTCAACAACTATAGAGGTTTTTTAATTTCCAGATGCGACTACTACACTTTCTTGATGATTTATTGCCTCAAATAGTCTCTAATATCAAGTCAAAATAATAGCAGTAGATATAAGGTTTGAGAGATTGAGAAATATTGGGGGTAATTGCAATATTACCATATACTGACTCGTTATGACTGGTAACATAAAAGAACTCTAAAAGAGAAGCTAATGGTTCCTTCTTTGTGCACCCCTTTTGCTATCGATTGGGATGCTTTCCTGGTGGTGATTTCCTGGCATGTAGAGAATCTTCATGTGTTCCTTTCAATGTTGTATTCTTTAGTTGGATTGATGCGAAGGTCAATATTTGTTTACTGGTCAATGATATAGTTGAATGTCGTTTACTGGATATGGGCGTCGTTTGTGGGAAGATGTAGAATGATTAAATTCATTTATTAATGACTAGGGAGCTGTGGACTATTTAGTTCAACAGGTCATCTCTTCTGCTTTCTAACATGGCTCCTTTTCCTGTGGAGCTAATCCTCCTCCAAGGGAAAGCTATGTTGGATTTCATAAATAGTTGTTTGATTTTAAGGTTGTTGGGTTTATGGGTTTATGTATACGTATTGTGTATAAGTTCTTAATGCCATACTTAGATTAATTTAATAACTCAATGTTTGTTCTGGGTGGTATGTCTAGAAAAAATAAAAATCCAACTCTTCTATATGGGATATTCTTGTTGATTCATCTTGGTCGACATGTGTTTTTATCTCATCTTCATCTTTGATCCTTTTATTTGTTGGGGACTTTCAAAAAAAGGAGAGTTTACTTCTAGTTATTTGAGTTGCGAATCTTAGATAAGGTGTGAGTTATTGCTCTATTGACCCTTTAAGTCAAACCTTCTCTCTTTTGAGGTTGTGTAATTAAAGAGGTACAATGCATAACTGAAATACCATTAAATAAATCAAAACAAACATATCCAACATCATCTAACTAAAACCCTCCAAAACATAAACCATTAAAGGGTTATATTCAAGACTCCTTAAAACAAATTAATTATTCTTCATCTAACTAAATAAAGAAACATTCATAACTATTATCCAATCATGAAAGTTCAAACATTTTAAACTAGCAAGCCAACATCTAGGCCTCAAATTTTAGACCTACATTCTGATATGCTTTATCCCAATCCATCTGCTCACCTATCCGTATCACCCTCAATACCAAAATATGAAAAATGCTAAAGGAAGGGGTGAGTACAACTAGCTTAGTAGGAAACTTTTTCAAATCTAAACAATGTTTATAAAATTTTATAAAAATAGGTAGGTTTCAAATTTACAAAATAAATATATATATTTTGAAAGTAATTGTGTGACATTTAATAATGATCTCAAGTTTTGGTATATGTAAGGAAAATTCAACATAGAATATCTCATTTAGTAAACAACTGCTTATAATAGGAGTATCTTATGTAAGCAGATGATTAATAAGAATTCACACCCAGAATATATTTGGTCCACACACACACAAATTCTCCGGTCAATCCCGGGAGGGATACACCATTTTAGGAAGCGCGTATACCAGTGCATCGGTATTTAATGTTATCTTTTTAGGAATAGTATACTAATTCTCAATCTCGGTCCCTGTGAGTGAATAGTGGTTTGGAATCCCTCAAGGAACCAACAACCCACTACGAGTGATAGGTAAACCTTTAAACCCCTCAAGCTATGAAACTAATTTAATCATTTTGTGGTATAAGTTTGAACCCAATCCAAGTTCCTCAATCCCATCCATACAAGAGATATAATTCATGCCTTTTAATAAAATTCACGTATACCATGTACAACAATTCCACAATTGGTAAAATATAGGAAACTTTAATAAAAACATTCATAAGATTGCAAAAAGCATTATTTGGTTGTCAACATTCAAGATCTAGGGTTTCACGAATAAAAAATGTACAATCGGATGTAAATCGGAAATTTTTCCAATAAAACGATTCATGCTTTTATAGGAAATTCAAAATAGATTTAGATTTGTAGCATGTGTACGGATTCAAGTCAAAAATTACATGCATAATAGTCCTAGCCTCAATGAATAGGAAAGGGAAAAAAAACCCTACCTTGATTCCAAAGAAAATTGCTCCTAAAGTATTTTAGTAATTGCTGCGTGTGAATCTCGTCATGATCTCTTAGGCTCCTTAGGGTTGAAAAGCATGTAAGGAAACCCTAAAACGTGTTCATAGGGTATTTATATTGTAAAAAATGGAGCTAAACATCGCAAATTGATTGCACCAGGACTCTTGTGCGTATCAGGACGCAGCTTGCACGTCTGGACTGACTAAACCTTTTGTCCGGATGTAAACCCCCGCACCTGGATGCACATATCCCATTCGGATGGACTAAATCACTACCAAAAGTTTCACTGGTCTGTCGGGATACACCATTTACTGTGCGAATGCGTGTGACTTACTGCTTGATTTTGACCTAGTTAGAGGTGATTCACGAAGTTTTCATGAAATTTACTTTTGTAGATCTCGATGTCTGCTTTCCAATGCCACAAGAACTAGCTAAAGTTAATACTCAGGTTGTGTTAAATTCCTTCCTAGTCAATTTCTCCTAAGAGTGATTACCCAAAAAATGTCAAGTCACCTGAAAGTCTCAATTACACCTACAACATACGAACTTTTGCAAGAACTTAGTAGCAATAATTTAACAAATCCAATATTGTAATAATCTATTATAAATTAAACTAAATACACTAGGTCTTACAATATATTACGTAATAAATGAAACAGTTCAAACGAGTTGAACTTTCTTAATCTAGTTCCGTGTTCTTTTTGCCTAACATATGATACTTTTGCTTGTTGGCATTGGGCTGTTCTTGTCAGATACCAAAAAAGGGTCTCTTACTTTCATATGATTAATGAATAAATTTATTCTGTGAGTGGGTTTGATGCATTGGTAAGTCATGACTTGTCCGTTAAGTTTTTTTAGTCGCCGGAACAATCTCTTCGCATGCGGGGGAAAGGCTGCATACATTTTACCCTCTAGACCTCACAATGGCAACCTTGTGCGCTGAACTGCCCTCTTGCTATATGATGTCTTGTCTTCTATTGTTCGAACTCAAAAATCATCCTGTCCTCTGACCAGGATTCTGGACCATAAACCACAACATTTTTTGACATGTATATGGTCATTGGTCACCTGCAATAAGTAATAAAAATCTACATATTCATTTCAGAGAAGACAATCTGATTCCCATGTAAAATGTCCATGATTCCATCATGCATGTGTTGTTATGTTTTGTTTTGTTTTGTTTTACCAGGCATCATCTGGAAATGCCATTTCTGGGAGCATGGCAGGGCCTCATGTAATGCCAAGTAGATCTGTCCCTCGGCCCATGCCAATGGTTGGCATGCAAAGGATGCAACCTCAGGGTTTAACGGGTTATAATCTCAGTTCTCAGGCAGGGATGGGTGGTCAAATGAATCCTGGGGGCATCCCAATGCCACGAGGTGTTACTGCCCAGGCTCATCAACAGCAGCAGGTTTTCTCTGTCTAGTCAAAAAAATGATGTTCTTGTGGTTGTGTCCCTTCCTTTTCCTGATCATATATCATCATTTGGAAATAGATGAGAAGAAAAGACCCAGGAATGGGAATTACAGCATACCCTCCGCAACAGAAATCGAGGCGCTTCTGATGAGGGTCTATTTGCACTTCACTGGATGCACCTGTAACCACCTGAGGGTACCTTGCTGAAACTGCTTTCATTAATTTATTACATCTTGCAATATTGTTAATGTGTTTTGTAGAGATTGTTTTTTCTCACTTCAAAAGGTATTTTGCTTATAGTTTGGTCCGACATCATTGTTCTTAAAAACTCCTAGTGGCTTTTATTACCATTGGCCATGTTATTGGTGTTTATTTTATAATAGTGTGAACCTCACATTTTTCGAGCTTGTCAAATCTGCATCTTGCCTGTTGTCTGTCACATGCGTAGTCTTGAAGTCACTAATTTTGAGTGAAGATAGTGTGCACTCCAAATTCTATTTTTCCTGGATTTTCTTCCTTCTCTCTAAATTTGAAGAAATCAGTATCTAGTTTTTTTTTCTCTTGAATTGCTGTATATTTCTGCAAAACTTGGTCAACTTTCCAGCCAAATTAAGTATGAAATTTCAGAACAGCTGTTTCTTTTGGTGAATTTTGAATCCCTTTTCAAAACTTGTTTCTTTTTTTAAATTCACCAAGTGTTCTAAACCTTTTCGCTGAGTACTCCTTTATAAGTTTTCACTCGTTCAAATTTGGTTGTCTGGTTGAAAGCCATGTTTTGCAGGGTCTCACCATGTTTTAATGAAAGTTTGATAACTTCTCATGTTTGATTAGCTGCATATTATTACGACTAATTTACAATGGAGACAGACCGGTATGAAAAGAATTTATGTTGTGTACCTTCACTAAAACAAGAGAAAAAGAAAAAGAAAAAGCTACTAGATTGTACGTGTTTTGTAATCTTTTCATTTTCAATTACTAATTACATTTATCCACACTGAAATTCACTCGTAGAATCCTGGTTGATATTTTTACATCTTTACTGGATTTGATGTAACCTGTATCTGTGCCTCACTAAAAAAGAAGAGGCAAAAAAGAAAAAAAAAAGCGGAAAAGAAAAGAAAAGAGAAAAATCTGTCGGTACTCAACTCAACTCAATTTTGTAGATTCATGTTCATATTCGGCCTTTCGGTCTTGAATCAAAATTCGGCTTGCCATGGCTAGGTTCATGCAAGGAAATGATAGAAATTCACGTGCAAGTATGGAAGCCCAGAGTCCTCCAGTACTTGCCGGGAAGCAGAGTTGAGGCCATTGACATAGCTGCTTTAGTATCTCGCTGTTGATTACATCCCACTGCCGGAATGTCAGCTGATGTTTTATGTGGTAAATGACTCTACGCCATTTTTGCGTACAGCCTGTGCATTGCAACTTTGCTGTGCCTGTGTTTCAGTTTCATTACCAAAGATTGATCAGTTGTCAGTTCCATGGCGGAATGATGAATCCACTAGTATACAAACAAAAATGCAGCTGTAAAATAATCTTTGTACATCTATTTAAAACTCTCTCTCTCTCTCTCCTGGTAAATTCTGCCTTGCATAGTTATCAGGCCATTAGTTGCATTGCTACGAGTTGGCGAACGCCTTTATTTTTTGAGCCCGTTTCATTTTTTGTGTTTCAGCTGGAGGCATATATGTATAATCCTTATTCTGAATAAATTCATGAACTTGTGCCTTTTTAGTCAAAATATTGTATATATGAATGGTCTATGTTGTATTTCCAGCAAGATTGTAATCAATATGATTTTGCTAAGGAATGAGTGCCCTAAATGTACTAAAAACACTTTTAATTGATGACTTTCATTTTTTTGGTGATTGACCACTGTATTAAATTCAAGCATACGTCAAAGGTTTATATGCTTAATAAGGATTTCATCTACGCCAAAGTAGTTGTATCGTTGTTGATTTAGAACTAGAATGACGTCATAAGTAAATGGAGAGGTCTTCCTTCCTTGCTTTAAATAACGCAAAGCACACATGTTTCATCTCCTTGAAATCAAACATAGGCCTCTGGATTTGGCAGGAGTTAAAAGTAAAGATTAGTGTCAGGTAATTCAATATACATTTGATTCGTCAGGTGATTAAACAAAGATCTCAGAACAGAAGCACAAAGAAATGAACAGCTTTGATCAATTGTAGGAAAGGTGCAATATAAACTGAAACTATGATCTAAGGCCATCTACCAGCTCTGGTCCTTATGAAGCTGCAGCTAAGGCAAGTGCCATGGTTACCAAGATGAAGGGGGCAAACAATACTTGGACGACCCACATTGAAGGGGAATTTTTGACAACATTAAAATAATCTTTTCACATTCCCCTTCAATGACTATTGTGTATGCACAGGTTGATTTGAGTTGTAGTTTCAAAAAATTAATGGGAACCAAAAGGTTTCCATAACTCGGAGGATATATCTAAAGCTTTTGGATTAACCCTATCAAATGAACTAATGACAGCACCATCTACTTTCGCCAAATATGTTCATTAATATTATTTTTTATTGTGACTGTTACAAACACTCTTCTTGTGGACTCTTGGGTGGCTATTAACTCCTGATATCCTCAATTCCACGTATCATTCGACAACCCCAAAACTCAATTGACAAATGTCACTGTTTGTTAAAGGAAGCTTGCCATATTCCCACCATCGGTTAGGGAGTACGCTTGTAGAGAACCATAGATGAATGAAACCAGCAGACCATGGAGGTGGATCAGTGCACATAATAATCATTGACGAAACACAATCATTGTGTTGTAAGTTAAGCATATATAACATCATGTCTGACTCAAATTTAAATTTGAGTCAAAATAGTCTAAAAAACTTCTCTAACCTTAAGTCTAAATTTATACCAAATCAAGAAAAAATTAGTCTTGGACCTAAATTGAGGGAGATTTAAATCTTATATCAAATTTTTAACCATAACTTTTTATTCTATGTAAACCTAAAAGACTCCTCTGACGGGACAAGTTTTTACCTCTCTTGTTTCTATCTTCGGAGCCGCCATCGTCGTCGACCACAACGCTTCTCCCTTCCTCTATTCTTTGACGGTAAATTTTATTCTCTCTCTTCTCTATCTATGTCTTTTTATGCATTGAGTTTATTCTTACCGTCTTTTCTTTTGATTGATATTACTACAAATTTATAGGTTATAATATCGGGAGGCTTTTCTTTTACTTTCTTTTCTGTTTTAGAATTAGTTGTACAATTCGAATATATATAATAAGACTTTTTTGTATTAATTTTTTAAGTTTTATTATCTAAGAGTTATAATTCGAATAAGTATAATGATATTGAGACCTAAAAATTGTATCTTATGATTGTAATCATTTAATTAACATCAATTTTTAATGTTTGATGGGGTTCACAGTCAATTCAAAAGTTGTAGTTGATAGAGTTATATATTAAAAACTTGTTTTTTGTAATGAAACTCAATTTATTATTTAATAAAAATTATTTATTTCCTATTTCAATGAGAATTTGTGTAGGTAAAACATTTGTATTATATCAAATATATGATATACATATGTGTCTTTTATTTTATATTGTAGATAATCTAGTGTGTTGAGTTCAACTTATACATAGAATATCAGATTATTAGATCATTGTATGATATAAATAAAAGGTCACAATTATAGATGAAGTTAGACACATCATTAGTAGGATTGTAGTGCAATCTTATGACATAGTCTGCTTTGACTATAGTAGAATGTCTAATATCTTGAATTGTTGTACTAGTATACTTTGTGTATTGGACATGATCATTATTGAGGGTATTTTTTTTAATGACTAACTAAGAAAATAAATACTTTATGATTATCATGAATGTTTAAGATTTTAATCCTAAAATATTTAATTGACATGTGTATATAATGATTGCTACTTTCATTCATAAAAGATTAAGATTCAAATTTGAGTCAATAAACTCAGTGAATTAGGAGATGACATTATTTGCATAGTGAAAATTAATTATGAAAGGAAAACACGTTCCAGTATATAAATGATTTGATGATGTCCTCTTGAGGAAACTCATAAATTTTGTCCATGTCAAACCTTACAAGTGAATTTAATTATCTTACATGACAAATAAGTTGAGTGGTAAAATTTTAAAGATAAAAAAAAGTCAATTAAATATAATTGTTAAAAATTTAATTAATTGGTGAACATCTGTAATTTTAAACGTGGGGAGATTATTAGACATATAATAATGAGGAGCTTGAAATATAATTTTGAGATAAGACTTAGGAGATCAATAATAAATTTGTAGTGGATTAACTTTTTATTAATGAACTATAAGATGTTTGTTTTGGATTGGACATAGAATTCCTGAGTCCATTGGAAGCATGATCCCTATTTCTCTTTAAGGTCTCTAAGGGGGCCAGTCCAAGATCGTACTGTTCCTCTATAAAGACAACATACGCTCTCTACGGCTAGGCAACACTTTCTTTCTAAGTTATTCCAACTTCTCATTCTTTCGTGTCGTGGTGAACAAACAAAAAAAAAAAGAGCCGAAGAAAGTCGGGAACCATCAATTACCTTTTGAATCAAAGTAGTGATGAGCCGAGTATTACGACTATAGGGAGAGAAGCGAAGCTTCAATCTGGCTTAGTTTGGAAAGAGAAGTCTGTCCAGGTTCAATCATTTGACGTAGTAGTAGTCTCAAAGCTAAGAATTCAAATCTTGACCTTCTCTTTTTTTATGAAGGTAGGATAAATTAGCCTTAGGGACTCTTGTCTACCTATCATTGATTCTATCTATGAATCAAGTCAAAAGACATTGTTTTTGGGTTCCCTGAAGCCTCGAATGGATTGGGTTGTTTTTGCCAACGAAATGAATGTAGAGTCTGTTCCAAATGCCTCTCTGATCCTGAAGTTCTTGCAAAGAGAATAAGATGCATCTTCCATTCCCCTCTAATGTGGGCCAAGTAGCGGCTGGCACGGGAGAAAGAAACCTAAGAGAAGATGCTCTTATCTTTGATCCTTTTTTTTTAAGTGCAACATAGGGAATCACCCTCTTTTTGTCATCCCTGCAGCTTTCCAAATTTTGTATTGAATGCATGGCATAGCTAGGACCTTTCAAATCATGTTTGAGCCTATGTTCAAACCATTAAAGGAAATGCTTAACGAAGGGAGGGAGATGCGGCGGGGGAAAGAAAATGCTTTTTTGACTGCGATGGCATGATTATTGGGCCCTCTCCGCGTTCTTGAAAGGTGGTGCTACTAGCCAAGGAAGGATTCCGTCTTTAAAGCAATGGTATAGGAATCCACTGAAATCTTGCCTTCGCCCTTTTTTTTTTGTTAGCAACTCTTCGATCAACCCAGGAAAGGATTAGTGGCAAAGATGCATTGATTACTGGAAATTGATTAGAGGATCTACTAAAGGGATCCACCTGCCGATGCTCATGGGTCTGCTATATGGCAATTGGGTTCACTATTGCCAAATACATATGTGACAACCGAGAAATGTACTGATTGCTTTCTTAGTAGGTACTTGGCTAAATGACCTTACTTTTCATAACCTTAGCTTCCCTTTCTTTATAGTTCAACTAAGTGACTTTGTATCCTCAATGTACTTTATTTTCTATCTTCCTCCAACGTGCAGACACTCGAACGTGTGGAATTTAATCTCTCAAGCTGAGTAAGAAGGGCTTCCATAAAATCAAAAGGGACATGAAGAGGGCACCAAAGAAGACATTTTTCTAAAATAAAGAAGAGTTTCGTTTTAGTCCTTGACTTACTGACTCAATCTTTGTAGCCTATAAATAAATGCATTCACTAGTTCTCTCAGCTATAACATTTACCTTCACGTTTAGAAGAGAGAGAGAGAGACAGAGAGAGAAAATTCGGAGGATTGTAGCCTACATTGCATTCGGATTTTTGGAGTGGAAGGATATGCAATAGAAGATCGTGAAGTTCATCGAGCATGCTGTTCGATTTGCAACTGTTCTTCATTCGTGCAGATCTACTTGTCAAAGGTAAACCTTAATTCCACTTTATAGGGTTAATAAATGAGTAAAATTTTTGTAATCAATTATACGTGCCGTCAACAGATATTGGGATTGCCCTTCCAATAGTAGTGAATTAGGTTAGCAAATTAGGTCACAATAAATAGCTCAAAGCATCAATATCAACTGATCTATAATTTTGCTTCTCCAATGGAAGTTGTGGATTCGAATGACTCTACGATGCAGTAGAACTGAGGAGAGGAGATAGTTACTAGAAGAAAGATAGAAGCAGACCTTCATTTGGGCAAATCCGATTTTAGTAAGACGAAGGGTTCTCCCATTTCATTGTA